AGATGTCTACCAAAATAAACAACTACTTTACATTTTCATCTCTTTGTATTTTTAGCTTCCAATCTCAAAGGCAAATTTAATAACACTTTACATATCTTATTACATATCTTCATATCAGAACATAGAGCTACATTTCTAGTCTTCAAAACAAAGCTATCAGAGTTAGAGGTGTAGCACACACAAGACCCAGAGTTCAAATGGGAATGAAACATTAACCACAGGAAATCCATTGATGTTTATGTTAAAATAAATAAGTAATAAATGTCACTCCACATTTATCTTTTCCTACATTCTAAAATAATTTTCCATAAACAAAAACACTGAACAAACGTTGTAATTCTAAACTGATGTCTTTTGGTTTAACAGTGATTAAGATTTATCTCGAAGTTAATGTTTTTGACTAACCCAGAAAACATCTAACCCTACCCTAACAACAATTATTGTAACATAGAAATAATAGTTTCTTTATCCTTAGATGTATATTAACCCAGTAGTAATCCAAATGTAGTTGCTTGAAAGCAGGCCTAAATTCCCTCAGGCTAGATTTAAAGGTCAATAGAATTATAACAAGATGTTGGATTTCAAATAACAGAACTGTTCATCTCAGTGAAGTATAATAAGATAATTCCTTTTCAATCTTTATAATGAGATGTAAAGGGGAGACACTGATCAAGATATATTGTACAAATAAATAGACATGTAAAATTTAAAATCATTTGTAGTTTTAAACACCAAACTCTGAATCAAACTCTTCAGGTTTAATTAAAGGAAGTATGTATTTATCCTTTACACACTTACATTTTTAGTTTGGTCTCAAAATACAGTTCTTTCTATCCCTTGCAGTTATTTATTTTAGTTGCTCTTTTCAATGCATTTTCCAGCTAACTTAATTTTGTTTTTCTCTTGAGTTGGGGTAATAAGAATTAGACAGTTATGGGCTGGAAAGGTGGCTCAGTGGTAGAACGCTTGCCTTGCATGCATGAGGCCCTGGGTTCAATTCTGCAGCACCACATAAGCAGAAAAAAAAGCCGGAAGTGGCGCGGTGGCTCAAGTGGTAAGTGCTAGCCTTGAGCTGAACTGCTGAGGGACAGCGCCCAGGCCCAGAGTTTAGGCCCCACGACCGGACCCCCAAGAATTAGACAGTTATCTGGCACTATATGCCAATAAAACGCTAAATTTAAAAAAAGAGGGAATAGTCTGCTTTGTAACTGCTTTGTTTCTAAAAGATTAGCTAATAATAGTCAGCATTATATTACCTATTTTTTGAAAGTCACAAATAGAATGAGATCCTCTATTATAGACACCTTAGTTTCCCAAAGAAAACTGAAAAAAGTATTTTAAAAAATCAGGCCAAATTCAAGACTTTCATAATTGCATTGTTATTTTAAATAATTTAGAATGTTGTCCTGTGGTACAGGGTATGTTAAGGCATTACAGTAATCCCAACATGAAAAAAGGATGACTTATGAGGATAGTCTGTGCCTGGCCCCCAGTAAAAAGTGTGAGATCTTATCTGAAACATGACTACAAGTATAGGCAAAAAGAGCTGGAGCATGACTCCAAGTTATAGGGTGCCCAGAAAGAGTGAAGCACTGAGTTCTGTTTTGTTTTGGTCTTGTTTGGGTTTCCTTTGAAAAGGGGCTACCTGTTTAGCCCAGGCTGGCCTTAGATCTCACATCCTCCTACTTTATCTTCCCATTTGAGATTACAGGCTTCAGTCACTTGCAGCACTTCTCTTGTTGTTTCCTTTTGGACTTTGGACCAAGTGTTAAAAAAAATACTCTTTTTAAGCCAAATGCCAGTAGTTCATACCTGTAATCCTAGCTACTCAGGAGGCTGAAATCTGAGGATCACAGTACAAAGCCACCCAGAGCAGGAAAGTATCTGAGACTCTCATCTCCACCAGAAAAATTAAAAGGTAGAAGTGGGGCAGTGGTTCAAGTGGTAGAGCAATATCCTTGAGCAAAAAGTACAGGGACAGTGGCCAGGCAGTGAGTTCAAGTCCCAGTACTGGCACAAAAAATTTAAATATTCTTTATTGTAAATTAGCTTAAATATTTAATAAAAGCCAATGCATTATAATAGAACAAACTGTTTTGAACATTTGAAGAAATCTAGCAATTACATTTGTTTTCTGAGTCTCAGCACCTTTATCCAAGAGAGAAAAGAGAAGTTTCTCTTCACAGTAATTGGAAGGATTCAGTGGATTAGAACAGCTCTGAGTGAATCAGAAGTGCTCCATGAGTATTTCCTCACTAGATCTAAATGATGAGGTCATATTATAAGTATTCTATACCCTGGGAATAGTATTGGAAATTTGTTCATAATGTCAAGTGAGTGATTATATATTTTAACATGGGTATTAAAATATGCAAAATACATTTTAACCTACATATGATTAAAACTATTGATAACTGCCCACTTTGAAATTTAGAAGGTAAAAGATTTGTAGAAATTTGCTCCCAGAGATTTCTTCAGGAATTGACATGGGAGGGTAATTTAAGATAAGAAATAAACCTTAAGATTATAATTCACTTTCTTGTGACATTGTATTGTATATGATCAACTCTTTACCCAGCAATTATGAGACCATCTGGTCCATCCCCAACAGTGCCAAAAAATTAAAAATCGACATTAACTAGTATGGAAGTATTTCTTAAAGGATCCTATAATGTAAATCAAAGGATATAATGATTTCCTTCTACAGTATTTTTGTTTGCTAGACTTTAAGATGCCATTTCTAAGAAAGGTTACATAAGTTAAATCTAAAAGAGAAACTTAAAGCCAAAGCTTAAAAGTTAAACTTACATTACCAGAAGGATCCGAGTTCACGTCTGGAGGTTCACTTCTTTCTGATAAGTTCACACTTGGAGGCAGGCCTGGGCTGAAGGCCATGAGATCGGTCTTGGGCGGGCCCTCCCCAGAACACACCCTCTGCCTCCTCTGCTGAGAGTAGGACCAGCTCCCCACCGCGCTGGAGCACACCAGCACAGGCTTCCCAGGCGCGCACGCGCCCTCGCTCCGCCCCACAGCCGCCCCAGAGCACCGCAGCGCCACGTACAGCACCAGCGTCAGCACCAGCAGGCTGCACACCGCGCAGATGGCGATGATCAGGTACACGTTCACGTCCACCAGCGTCGCCTCCGAAGCCACGG